AACCCACATGTGACAAAACGGAACCATCAACATCTCTCCTCAAATTGCATTAAAAGTGACATTCGTGTCTTAATTCGTTCGTATTTCAACTTTTAAAGCAATTCACGGTCCGCCATCTTGGTATGCTTCGGCTGCTGATCATAAACAGCTGAGGCAGTGCATCTCTTCAAGACAGTGTATCTCGGCGTTACACCGGATTGACAACACCTGATTATTGTAGCTACGTCAGAGACTCTAAAGTGTTGTTGCGCAACACTTGGTTATCATGAAAATTATGTTCCCATGATAACTGAAACATTTAGAGAAGATAATTATTATTAGTGCACTATGATCTTGAATTGAAATACATCATTTATTGATTACCAAAGTGCGTTTGATGCGCTGGAAATGACATTTTTGTTTGATCCCTTTTGGATCTACACCCAGTGAATTAATGATTCCACATACTGCTATGTATGCGGCACGGTGGCTGAGTGGATAGCACTCTCGCCTCTCAGCAAGAAGGTCCTGGGTTCGAATCCCGGTCGGACCAGGGCCTTTCTGAGTGGAGTTTGCATGTTCTCCCCGTGTCTGCGTAGGTTTCCTCCGGGTACTCCGGTTTCCCCTACCACTAAAAATATGTCCAATAGTTCTGGCATGTGCCTCCTGTACTGGCCCCGCTCCCATCTCTGTGTGGAGTGAGAGACAAGTGCCCAAAAATTAACAATTGTAAACCGCTTTGAGACTCAGATCTGCAGTGAAAAGGCGGTATATAAATAAAAACTTACTTACTTACATACTTGTACTTATGTTCAAGTAGCGTATTATTTAATTGTACTACATTATGTAATGTATGCAGCTATCTTTTGAAATATTGACTATGTAAATGTAAATATTTATTGAAGTACTCGCATTGAAGTGTTTAAGCATTAGTGTATACTGAGACTTTTCTATTGATGAAATGTTGACATGTTAATTTAATTGAATGTGATCTGAAATTCGATTTAATCTGCAGTGTTAGATTGTAAATATCTTGTATCTTATAGATACATTGAATTTAAGTTTAGTCAACTAAGAGCATTACATAGCTGACTCTTATTTTCTTAATATTCATTTGTCTTTTTCTGGCCTCTTGTTAGGTCCGGTTTTTTTGTACTGAGCTGTTTCCACACCTCATCCTGATATCTCCCTGTCCCTGCCATGGACTCCTGGTAGGATAAAAGACTATCAATTCTTTTTTTCCTTTACGTCCAACGGACAATATTGGACTATCGTGGACTATTTTGGTTTCTTTTCTTCTCTCCCTTTGAATGGGAGCACGGACTCTAACACAGAGCGTGTGAATCGTGAGAACAGTATCGTTATCAGCGAGGTTGTGGCTGTCAATATTGTTATATTGTTATTCTGTACAATTTTGTGTTATTTACTTTCTCCTTTTAATACAATACCAAACTCAAAACTCAATCAGTTGTTTGGTTCGGGAAGCAGCCTGGATTGTGAGGTGTAGAATGAGTGGTACAAGTCTTTTGAATAGTACTCAGAGTTGAATCGCAGTCAGATTTCAAAATGAGTACTGGTAAGCGGGAATGTAGACAATATTTGTATGCTACAAATCTGATGTCCTCAAACGCTGCGTTTGGATGATTGTACTTCAGTAGATGGATGTGAATTCCTTTCAATAATTTGAGCCTATTCATATCACATTTTGATTTGAACTTATTTACCTTTCCGTATATTTCTCCTCCTTGCTGAGGAATCCTGTGTACTCCCGATAGCAGGACTGATATTTCACCTCCATGGCTACACAATCTTTGTCCCGGATGTGATGGAAAATGTGCTCATCACTTTTGGCCTCAGCTGCTTCACAGAGCAGATCTGGAAATGACAAGTTAAAATGTTAAGAATTATTTCATCCCATCATAAGTCGCAACTAAACAGAGGACTAAGTCAATGAAGACACCACATGGATCTACAGTGTATAAGTATGTCTGCTAATAATAATATGATGCTAGCATGCAGTCATCACAGCTGTGCAATAATAGTATAGATAATTACTCTGCCTTGCTGGCAGGTCATTTATTTAGGCAATGTTTCAGTGGTCTGGATTCGTATAAGGCCTACTTGTACTGAATATAAATAAATGACCTTCCATCAATACAATGTTTCAGTGGTCGCAGAGTTACTATTGCACCTCATCAGTAAAACTAACCTGTCTCACGACGGTCTAAACCCAGCTCACGTTCCCTGTTAGTGGGTGAACAATCCAACGCTTGGTGAGTTCTGCTTCACAGTTATAGGAAGAGCCGACATCGAAGCAGACTTTCATAAAAGGCCTATTTGTATTGAATATGTAATTTTCATTTAATTTATTTCAAGCCTGCAGGTGTATACAGACAGGAAAACATTAATGCAAAGTCTGCTTGGTTTGAAAGGGATGATATTTTATATACAAATATTGATTTATTGCATCTTTCTTTATAATGTACTGTGATTATGATGTTAATGCTTTCTTATTTTGTCCAGCACTTTGAGTTGCCTTGTGTATGAATTGTGCTATACATAAACTTGCCTTGACATGATGGAAGCTTCCGCATATATACAACCACCCCCCCCAAACATTTCATTTTCACAAATTATTACAACACAGGACATTGAACATTCAACACACACACACACACACACACACCTTTTCTATCACATAACTTTTGAAATATCTTTTGACCTGTGTCAAACTTAAACAGGGTTAAACTAGTCATCATAGTTAGTTGTAATTAGAGTAGCTAGTAGGTCTATCAATCTTGGACTTAGCTGTACTGTTATTTATGTAGTTGGGTTGTAGGTAGGCCCCTCCCAACCTTGTATATCACAAGAACACCAAACAGAATCAATTGAAACTTAGTGTAGTATGTTTTGAAAACATCAACATCATAGGCTTACCTGCACTTTCAGTTTCTGCCTGGATGAGTTTGTCTTACACCCTCTTGCACTTTTTAAATGCCTTTATTAATAGAGCACAATTATTTACAAGACAACAACAAATGTACATTGCATGCAGTAATATCAACAGTGATAATATTTACAGTGGTTTAAAATTGTAAAATGTCCCATGGGAAGTGAGGAGAGTCGTTACGTTGCTGCTTGAGTTGTGTTATGACTTGTTTGTATATTGTGAAACTGTCAATGAAAGTTTGTGATATTGTCATTTTTGTCCGTGTTTTCCAGATTTGTACAGTCGTTATTGCAATGATGCGTTGGAAGAGTTCTTGCTGCTGTGGGGGGAGAGTTTCTTGAAGCAGTCCGTATATGATGGATCGATAAGTGATTGAAATAGTGAGTCCAAGAGTCTGTAAACGGGTCCATACTTCCTGTGAGCGGTAACAATGAATGAGTAGGTGGTCCAGAGTCTCGTCGTTATTGCAGTTCGGCATTGGGCATAATTTGGTTTTTACATAGCAGCTCCAGGACACGATGGCTCTCACCGGGAGTCTGTTTACGGCCATGAGCCACCGTGAGTCCCGGATGGTCTGCTCCTGGGGTTTGTTAAAACGTTTTATGACACTTTCAGATTCATTAACGTTACAATCTTTAAAAACAACAATATCACCGTACATTTTTTCACACATTTTAAAATACAACATTTTCGAAGGGAGCCCATTATAATCTAAAGGATTTTTATGGGTAAAATCACCGTATAGAAGTTTATAATAAGGCCCTTTACGAGCGCGGCCCACCCGCCTCCTCCACTGCGTCACCTCACCGACCCACGGGGCGCCGCGGGCAATCGCCAAAGAAACATTTTTAATGAAGGCTAAAGTTAATTTGGTTTCTAGGTTCACAGCTCCTAAGCCTCCCAAGGCCTTATCTTTAAAGAGTAGGTTGCGTTTGGTCACTTCTCTGGTGGTGCTCCAGATAAAGTTCACACAAGATTTATTGAGTTTCATCATTATTTTTTTGGGGGGTGGGAAAACAGTAGCTAAGAATAATAATTTAGACAAAATACGACATTTGATAATATTTATTTTTAGTTGATAAGATAGCTTTTTGTTTTCCCATTTTTTAATCTCGATTTTAATCTCATCATATTTTGTATTCCAATTTCTTTCTACTGTATTATTGGAAATGGAGATGCCCAATATTTGTATATGTTCACGCGTTGTGATATTTATAGGGGTTTTTTTTGTGCTCCTCACCGATCCAAACTGCCTCGGACTTACTGTGGTTGAGGATGGCCCCAGAGGATCTTTCATAGAGATTTAATATATACTTGAGTTCACTGAGTTCTGACTGTGTTTGGATGATGACTGTAACGTCATCGGCATATGCTAATGTTTTGATAATGTTGTGGGGCGTGAGTTCGATTCCTTTGATGGAACTGGATTTGATGAAGGTGAGTAATGGGTTTATTGCTAAAACATAGAGTGCAGCACTGAGCGGGCAGCCCTGCTTCACTCCGCGGTGAATGTTTAAAGGTTCAGTTAAAACCCCGTTTACATTTATTTGCACACTGGTTTTAAAATATAGGCATTTAATCATGTTAATAAAATCTGTGGGGAAGCCATATTTGGACAGGACAGCCCACAAATAGTCCCGAGATACAAAATCAAAAGCTTTCTTTTGGTCCAGACCAACAATATAAAAGTTCTGTTCCTCTTTATCTTTATACAGTAGTTCACGCAGCGCACACACATTGTCCCACATGAGACGGCCTCTGATGGCACACGTCTGCTGTTTCTCTATGACGTCCTCTAGGACGTCATTCATGCGGTTCATTAGTATTTTTGCTAAGATTTTGTAGTCTGTGTTCATCAGAGTGAGATGTCTGTAATTATTGATGTCTTCTTTCTCACCCTTTTTATACAGGAGACACATCACTCCCTGGTAGAAGGACTCTCCCATCTGACCTTTCTTTAAACCTTCGTTAAAATACGCAGTTAATAAATCTGCGACATTAGTTATATATAATTGATAAAACTCTGTGGGCAGTCCGTCTGGACCTGGACTTTTGCCAGAGTTAAGTTGTTTTATAGCACAAAGGACCTCTTCTTCAGTGATGTCTCCGAGTACGGGGCTGACGTCACAGTCTGGGGGAGACAGCTCTAACATAGACCTCACAGACTCAGGGTCACTCTAATGTCTCTATAAGAGTCTAAAAGAAGTCTCTCTGATCAGTTCCCTCTTCTTTCTTTCATTCAAAATGAGATTCCCAGAGTGGTCTCTAACTGCTTCAATGCGTTTGTTTTGAATATTATCTTTGCTGGACTTTACAACTTGAGTGATGTTACACTGTCCATCGACCTGAGCACTTTTAAAAACATTAAACAAGAGCTCAGCATTAATAGCATTAATTTGAGATTTTACCTCTTTCATTCTGACCTCGTCTTCAGGGGAAGCGTCTTTACGCTGCTTTAATGTGATACATTCTTTTACTAACTCATTGTATATACTATTTTTACATTTATTAATTTCTTTACACTTGAATTTAAAAAATTTTGCGACTCTACTTTTTAAAAGTTCCCACAGTTCAGTGTCAGATTTAGTTAATATTTTCAGCTGCGTGATGACCGCTATTTCCTTTTTGAGTTCGTTTATTAACTCTGGGTATTTGAGACAGCTAACGTTGAGCTTCCAGAACCCTTTATGTTCGACTGGACCAAAGCAGACATTGGAACAAACAATAAGGTGATCAGAGAAGTCAGTCAGAATGGTTTTATATGACATTATAGCTACGTTACTGGACGTGTAGATTCGGTCTATTCTAGTTTTGACTTTGGAGTCAAACCTGGTAAAACCATAGTCATTTGGATACAGAGTTCTGAATGCATCTTTTAAATTATGGTCACTGCTGATTTTAAGTAAAGCGTTTCCTTCTTTTCTTATTTTATGACTTGTGCTCCCGATGCGGTCTTTTTCTTCAGTTATTATGTTAAAATCCCCACATATAATAGTTGTAAAATTTACATTTAAATTTCATTCAACTTCCTCAAAAGTTTACTTTTTTTGTGAAACTGTTGTGACGTATACACATTTATGAGTCTATTTTTCATTGTTAAACACACAGTCGACCATTAATAGTCTCCCTGGAATGATTTCTCTTTTCTTAATAATGTTTACGTTATTTTTACACAAAATACCAACTCCGTCTGCACTGTCCTCTCCAATAGACACAAGACAGGTCCCTTTAGTCCAGAGATCACACACATTATTCACATCATCAAACGTCTTCAGTCTCAGTTCTTGAATAAACAAAAAATCAAAGTTAGTTTCTAAAAGATACTCAATTTTCTTTTGTCTATTAGCAGGCGATTGAATACCGCAGATGTTCCACGATGCAAGTTTCACATAGGACATTAAGTGTTTTTGTTGGGAGAGGACCTTTTATCAACTCTTTTTTCTTTACCCTTCAGTTTGTTTTTATTCCTTTTTCGTTTTGTTGAATACAGTGGTGGGATATTCACAGAAACGAAATCGGGACTTGAAGACCCAGTCAGAGAATCATTTGGAATTATTTCTGAAACAGAGCTTTCACTCACGCTTTGAGAATGCTCCTCTGACCCTGAGACAGAGAGGGGCTCACCTGAGGACCCCGAGGAGCTGGTCTCAGAGGATCGATGGTCCTCGTCTGAAGGAGGGAGAGGAGGCCACAGCGCGCACTCCTCCGCGGAGGCTGTCGGAGAAGGCTGGTCGCTGGTCACAAGCGGTGGCTCAGTGGACGGCTGGGCAGCGTTCTGCGATGACGTGGAGGATGGGGCAGCGATCCGCGATGACGTGGAGGGCTGCACGGCAGTCTGCGATGGCGCGGAGGGCTGGGCAGCAGTCTGCGATGACGTGGGGGGCTGGGCAGCAGTCTGCGATGACGTGGAGGGCTGGGCAGCTGACCGCGATGACGTGGAGGGCTGAGCAGCGGTCCGTGATGTTGTGCTGGACTGAACACCGACCTGGGTCTGTACACCTGTCCCGCTCTGCTGCTCGCGTAGCTTACCGCGAGGCTCACTGGACCCAGATTTTACACCAGGCAACAACTTGGGCCGGACACTGGGGTCAGGGTGCGGCTTGGTAGGCCGAGCGCTGGGCCCCTCCGGACCAAGAGTGGGTTGGGCAGTGGCCTCTGGTGGTAGCCTGGTGGGTTTGGAGGACCCAGACGGCAGCGTGGAGGACTGGGTACAGGGCTCAGCCCAGGCATTGGTGGCAGATCCAGCTTTATCGTAGTCCTTTGGCTGTGCATGTCTAGCCTTGTTGGCGTATGACGAAGGGCAAGTGAAATAAGTGTGTCCTTTCTCATTGCATAAAGTGCAAAGTGCTTCACAGGTACAGTCTTTCGCCTTGTGTCCAAATTGTCCACACTTCCAGCATTTAACTGTAGGACAGTCTCGGATCTGGTGATCCGGAGACTGACATATAAAACACGTGACTGGTTGACCCGGATATATAATTCGCCCATTGTATGGTCCCAGGGAAATAGAGTTGGGTAGTTGTAAAAAATGTCCATTTAAGTCTTTTTAAGTTGTACTTTGTATTTTCGAACACCATACCAAAGTCCAAACTTATCTACGGGTTTGACTGTACTCAAGATGTTACAATATCGCTGGAGGTAGAGCTCGATGTCACCGTCAGATACCCTACCAGTCCAGAACTTAACCACAATAAATACAGTGTCTACTTGAATAGACCAGGGGTTCCCAAAGTTTTTAGCCCGCGACCCCCATCATAAATGTCCTGCTAACCCGCGACCCCCCCCCCCCCCCCCCCCCCCCCAACAGCCCTTTCGTCACATGAAATGAGCATGTATTTCCTTGATACGGAGTAACGCTTTCTAGAGACTCACGCCACTACCGAGCTGCACTGTCCAGCCCAAAAAAGGAGGCTTGCATATTTTTACTCATGTAGTGACACAGTGATGGGCTTGGTGGGCTCCCTCCTCAGCAGAAGTGGAGCGCATTTCCTGCAGCTCGCCCTCACTGTTCTCCTACCGCGGTAAAGTGGGCCGGCTTTCCGGAGTCAGCGGTAAAGAGGTCCGCACATTAAAAGCGGGCGGCCGCTTTCTGCTGTTACTTTATGCGGTTCATCCCCGCGGCTTCTCTTTCCAAAGTTACTGTCAGTAAAGGCATAAACCGGCCACCCGCTTTTAATGTGCGGACCTCTTTACCTTTGACTTCGAAAAGCCGGGCCTCTTTAACGCGCTGTTCTACCGCTGCCCTCCCTCCCTCCGCTGCCCTCCCTCTCTCCCTCCGCTGCCCTCCCTCTCTCCCTCCGCTGCCCTCTCTCCCTCCCTCCGCTGCCCTCTCTCCCTCCGCTGCCCTCTCTCCCTCCTTTGCCCTCTCTCCCTCTCTTCGCACCATCAGCCTGACCCCTGATACAAGTGACTTTTCTCCCCCTCCGGGTTTTTCTGTTGTGGATATTAACCACGTTTCATTTTAAATAATAATAATAATAATAATGCATCGGTTTTATATAGCGCTTTTTTGGACACTCAAAGACGCTTCACATGTCATTATTCATTCACTCCATACACGGTGGTGATAAGCTACTACTGTAGCCACAGCTGCCCTGGGGCACACTGACAGAAGCGAGGCAACCAGTATGTGCCATCGGCCCCTCCGACCACCACCAATCATTCACACACACACCAGACTCATTCTAGGCAATGGGGGTGAAGTGTCTTGCCTAAGGACACAACGGCAGTTTGGCACTTTACAGCCGCAGCCGCCCCACTGTGGCTGGTGTTCCCAGAGGTTAAGTGTCTTGCCAAGGACACAACGACAGTAGTCAGTGGGAGTCGATGGTGAAAGTCTTGAGCGGGGCTTGAACCCACGACCACGGCTCAAAGGCCAATGCTCTACCAACTGAGCTACTGCCGCCTAAAATACCTTTAATTAATAAATAAATTTAATAAATAATACCTTAAAGCAGGTATTATTTATTTGTAGCCTCCAAACACCTTTAGTTTTAGCAAACAGCAGGATACGCTTTTTCGCTGCGCATGATGTGAGATGTGTTACGTGATGATTTTGATTTACGCTGCAATGACTGGGACAAAATTACTAACGTTATTAAAATATATTTTATAAATATATTGTAAAATATATATAATAATATATATATAAATGCTAAATAAATATTTAAGGGCTTTATATTTGCTCAAAAAAAAAAAATGTTTTTTTTTTTTGAGCAAAAAAAATATTTTTTTTTTTGTGTGGAAATCATCTTGCGACCCCCCCGGGGGGTCGGGACCCCCACTTTGGGAACCACTGGAATAGACGACTGAATGCTCCAGTCTTTACATTTGTCCTCGTTGGATTGAGTGAAATGTAAGTTCAAGAAGCGTCTTAGTGAGTCTTCGTTCATGAAACATATTTCAAAGTCTCTTTTGTTCTGAAGTGCAATGAATGAATAAATGTCTTTAGCATCAATCCAGCAGGATTGGAGCAAAAGTGTCTCACCAACATAGTCCCGGGTGGGGAGAAGCTCGCTTTGACCAGTATAGTGTAGACGGGCCCAGTGCTGGCCGAACTGAAAGGAGTAAGGGCGGCCCAGAGGTCGACTGTGAGTCATGACTCCTCTAACACATGCGCCTCACATGGCTGCACCTTTTCCTCTTCCAGACATCGTGATGTTTCGCCGACTCTTCGCCGCACCCTCTTGCCCTGACGAGTCATTTGCAAATCAAACAGATGAGGGGCAACACGTGTGTGGATGTCCTTTTCTGCGAGTCATGGGAGAGATTGTGGATTGTGGGAGGCACACACCAACTATTTCGGACTCCCGACTCCCTACGCTTGTCTCGTCCCAATCCCGGGCGCATCGTCGGCAGGTGTCCCACCATAGCTTCCGTCAGTTTTTCACACAGGTTTGTTGTGGCTGGTTCTATGTACCCGATGCATTTCAAAAGCGGCAAAACATCAATTTCTGCCTCAGACAACGACGGTAGTGATCCACAACAAGCCTCGCACGCCGTGTTTCTTGACATACCGCGTAGTGATTTTCCCGGAAATGCTCGATAATACGCGTCTCCTATTGGCTGAGCAGTGACGGTTTACAACCTTTTTCGTCTCCTTACACGAGAAATAGTCCGGCGTAAGATTTCAAACTGTACAATAACTGCTGGAATTCGAATGGAGAACCTTTGGTTATGTTCTGTATGTTAGACAAGCTATCACATAATCCGCTCAGATTTTAGTGCCCCGAGCTTGGAAGGAAACAACGCAATTTCTGCCTCAGCAGACGGCCTACTGGTGGTTAGTCACTGTACATATATTTTTGTTCACTACTGGTTTTGCCCTCACTTGCTGCAGCAAAAATAAAACATCTGCACTAAAGAAATATAACCTGACCAGACCATATAATTTCGTTTGCATATCTTTTGAGAACCCGCGACAGTAGGGTTAAGTGTCTTGCCCAAGGACACAACGACAACAGACATCAGTGGGAGTCGTGAAGTCTTATGGTGGGCTCGAACCCATGCCCTTCAGTCTCAAAGGCCAATGCTCTACCAACTGAGCTACTGTCGCTCCAATGGAAAAATAAAAACTGATCTAAAAAGGTGCGTCTACTTTTAAAAATATGAATGTTCTCTGCGGCCTTGAGCTCCTCCGGCAGACTGTTCCAGAGACGGGGGCCGTAGTGCTGGAAAGATGCCTCGCCGTGAGTATGTGTCCTGACTTTGGGGATGGTTAGGAGTCTGCTGCCGGAGGAGCGCAGGGGCTGGGAAGGTTCATAGGATAAAAGCAAATCTGAAAGATAAGAAGGCCCAAGACCATTAAGACATTTAAAAACCATTAAAAGAACCTTAAAATCGATCCTGAAACACACGGGGAGCCAATGCAGCAATTTTAAAACCGGTGTAATGTGGTCCCGCCCCCTGGTCTTAGTCAGGACACGTGCGGCCGAGTTTTGGAGTAATTGAACAGTTGCAATATTCTTTTTGGGAAGACCAGAGAGCAGGGAATTACAGTAGTCAATGCGACTGGAGATAAAAGCATGCATCAGTGTCTGTGTTTCCCCGAGAGAGAATGGGGCGTACTCTGGCGATGTTCTTTAGATGATAAAAACCTATTTTTGTGATATTCTTGATGAATAAAAGTCAGCTCAGAGTCAAAGATTACGCCCAGGTTTTTCATTTGTGATGATGGATTAAAAGAGTGTGATTGGAGTTTTGATAAAAGTGTCTCTCTGGGCCTCAGGACTGATGACTAAAACCTCAGTTTTGTCCTGGTTAAGCTGGAGAAAGTTTTTTGCCATCCAGGATTTCAGGTCTAAAATGCAGTTAAAAAGAGCATCCATTGGCCTGGTGTCGTCAGGAGACATGGAGATGTACAGCTGTGTGTCATCTGCATAACTGTGGAAGTTAATTCCATGTCTCCTGATGACACCGCCAAGAGGGAGCCTGTACAGGTTAAAAAGGACTGGACCTAACCTACATTAGAATCTACATAAACATTAAAAGAGTGTGAGATTTCATAACACTTTGAAGCAACTTTTGTTAAAGTTAAACTTTTCCATTTGACGTTTTGTCTATCTGAAGGCCAAGCTACACGCACACCATGGCAGCTGCCGATTGGAGGACTTCATTCTCCCATGCTATATTATCACTAACAGTTTGTTACATCCTTGTTCGTGTGCTTTGTTCGTGCTGTCTCTACCCATCCATCCATCCATCCATTTTCTACCCCTTAATCCATTTCTGGGTCGGGGGGGCGGCAGTCAGAGATGCCACCCAAGTCACAGAGCACCTGCCCCTCACTGATCCTCTGCAGGTGGTGAGTCCACAGGAGGATGGCTGCTCTGTCAATGGGATCTCTCAGGGGGGGCTTTTGGGCAAAGTGGGGTTAAGTGTCTTGCCCAAGGACACAACGGCAGCAGACATCAGTGGGAGTCGGTGGAGAAGGTGTCAAGGTAAAAACAAAGATAGAATCACACAGAACTTTTCAGCCTAGATTTGAAAACTGCCCGAGTAGATGCCTGTCTCACGTTCTCAGGAAGACTGTTCCAGACTCGTGGTCAATAGTTTAGAGAGAAGGATTTATTGCAAACAACTCATTTGGACACTGGATATTTTTGTGGTAGTTTCGATTTTGAACAGTTTGATTTGTATTAATTCGAGCTGAAATTATACAAAAGTTCCTTAGTTTATGAACTTTTTTACATTTGAACACGTCCACTCGGAATGAAAGCAAAAACTTGTAGACTCCCCCATGAATATAATTTAAATACATTCATGAATGTATATTATTGAATTATAGTAACTTTATGAATGTAATTGTACTCTGGCCCCCGTTTTATTCACATCTCTTAAATCTTATCCTGTTAATTCAAAGTTAATACATTTCTCAAAGTTCTGTTTGTCTGGACTCTACTGAGGTCTAAAGTGTGTCAAATATTTGGCATCTGTTGCATATATGTATATATTGCTTTGAATAGAATGTCTTTGAATAGATTGATAGATAAATGTAGATTTAAAACATCTAAATATGAAGTATTACGTTTATAGTTGCAATCGTTTTGGCTTGTGAATAACAATGAGTCATCAGGTCATTTCCATTATTATTTATTATTAGTTAATGATCACTCAGTTATCATAAATAACATCTAACAGCTTCTTAGTCAGTTGGATGAACGCCCACCCCCCACGTGCCCCACAGTCTTCAACTACGTCCGCAGATGCTGAATAACCACAGTGGAGCAGAGCCTTGTCCTCACACGTCTCGGTGATCTGTAAAAATGAGCGGGAGAGGAAAAGGAGGAAAGCCTTTGATTTTGTTTCGAGAGACTATTTGTGGCCTGTCCTGTCCAAATATGGCTTTCCCACAGATTTTATCAATATGGTAAAATGTCTATATTTTAAAACCACTGTACAAGTAAATGTGAACGGGGTTTTAACTGAACCTCTGAACGTCCACCGCGGAGTGAAGCAGGGCTGCCCGCTCAGTACTGCGCTCTATGTTTTAGCAATAAACCCATTACTCACTTCGATCAAATCCAGTCCCATCCTCAAAGGAGTCGAGCTCACTCCTCACAACAATATAAAAACATTAGCGTATGCAGACGACGTCCCGGTGATAATTCAGTATCAGTCAGAACTCGATGAACTCAATACAATCATACAGCTATATGAGCAATCCTCTGGTGCAATCCTGAACCACAACAAGTCTGAGGCAGTGTGGATCGGAGAGGAAAAAGGAAGAGTCCCAAATATCACCACAAGGGACGAAATAAAAGTTTTGGGGATTATTATTTGCAACAATGTCTTAGAACGGAACTGGGAAATCAAAACAAATTTGATCCAAGAAGAAATTAAAAAATGGGAAAACAAAAAAATATCCTATCAACTTAAAATAAATATTATAAAATGTTATGCCATTTCAAAATTGTTGTTTTTAGCGACTATCTTTCCACCCACTAACAAATGTATGATAAAACTTAATAAAATGTGTGTTAATTTTATATGGAGCACCACGAGAGAAGTCACTAAGAGGGAACTACTTTTTAAAGATAGAGCCTTAGGTGGCCTCGGAGCAACAAATTTAGACATAAAACTTACTTTAGCCTTTGTTAAAAATGTATCTTCAGCCATCGCCCGTGGAGCTCCGTGGGTCGGAGAACTGAGCATGTGGAGGAAGAACCGAACCGAGACCACTTTTTGAGGTGGTCTCGGTCCGCTTCCAAACGAATTCTGGTCCAAGTCGAATCAGGTCTGAATACATCTGGTGTCGATCCGACACAACTCCAAGATACGTGCGCATTTTTTGGGCTTAACAAGCACCGCAGACAGAAACTGAGAGGAATTAGCCATGCGTCACAGCGGCTAACTATGCTGCTAACTATGCTGCTAACTATGCTGCTAACTATGCTGCTAACTCTGCTGCTAACTATGCTGCTAACTCTGCTGCTAATGTCACAAGTGTAAAAACAGGTTCTTCGGACCCGGATTTAAAAAGGACCACTGTATTAAAAGCGAATTAAAAGCAATTTAGGGCGACAGTAGCTCAGTTGGTAGAGCATTGGCCTTTGAGCCTGAAGGTCATGGGTTCAAGCCCACCGTAAGACCTACTTCACGACTCCCACTGATGACTGCTGTCGTTGTGTCCGTGGGCAAGACACTTAACCCCACTTTGCCTGAAGCCCCCACTGAAAGATCTCAGCTCTTGTGGACTCACCACCTGCAGGAGGATCAGTGAGGGGCTGGTGCTCTGTGTACTGGGTGGCATCTCTGGCCACCCCCCCGACCCAGAAATGGATTAAGGGGAAGAAGATGGATGGATGGATGGATAAAAGCAATTTATTATAAAATACATTAAAAACAAGTAAATGAAAACAATAAAAACCTAAGCTAAAGAAAGGGCTAAAAAGCTAAAACAGAGGCTAAAACAGGCTAAAATGCGTCCCCACGGCCTGGGCCGCCAGACCACGGGGCTCTCACCCGCCGCGCCTGGCTCCCGTGTCTTGTTCCCAGTCCCGGGACCGGGCCGCAGTCCCGCCAGCCGCTCGCCGGCCACGGGTCGCCACCGGGCACCCGCGGGGGAGAGCCGGCACATCCCGGTCGTTGGGCCTAGCCCGGGCGCGCACGCGCCAATGCACTATCAATGCGCGCCTCACCGGTGCCGCTCTCCCCGCTGGCCTCAGTGCCCCGTGGTCTCTGGCTGGCGGTGCTCGTCCTTGGCCCGGTCCCATGTCCTCCTCCGGACCGGCTCTGCCCTCCTCTGTTCCTCTCTCTGTGTCTTTCCCTCTCCGCCCCCCCCATCTCAGTCTTTTATTCTCAAGGCGCAGGTGTCTTGATTGCTCACGTGGGGAGCCGGGGTGCTTCAGGTGGTGCCAGTTAAAAATCAATATTAAAAACACACAAACACAACATGCATAAAATATGAATAAAACCATATTAAAACCCACCACCCATTTTGCACCCCCTGACACTAACGCTACACAACAACACTGAGCCGTGTGCAGACCTGGAGCAGTGAGGAGACGCTGCAACAGGCTTATGGAGTTAAAACTGTTCACAGTATACAGTGATGTTAATGGCAGCATCTTCAAATCATTTCCATTATTAAAAGCCTGACACTGTTTGACTCACGTCTCAAAGAGCAATATTCTGCATCATGTAGTGAATTGTGTTCTTTGGTTCCTACCTGATCCTCAGCGTCTGTTTGTCCCGTGGTTATTATAGATCCATGGTTTATCCACAATGCTGAACAGGGCCGTTATTATCATAGATCCATGTGTGGGACAGGACACGGAGCACACAGACAGTCTCCTTCGGCTTTCTCCTCACGCATTCTCCGACACTGTTCCAATATTTAAAACGACGTGTTTCGCCTGCGTCATATGAGTTGCTGTTGAAGGTGGTTTTGCTCTAAAAAGAGCAAACGGAGGCAGAGCAGACATGCTGCACATACGAGCCCTCTGTTTTCCGCCGGTTCCGCGTCTATCCTCCGTGAGCTCTCACTGTCCAATAGGAGCGCCGATCGTCACACGTGTCAATATGTTTATATAAAAAAGTTCACTTGCAAAAAGGACAGTCTGAATACGAACCGGAGCAAAAGAAAAAAGTTTGGTCCGCTTTTGATTCGGATCAAGCAAGCGGAGCAAAGGACTTTTCAGGTCTGAATCAGGGACGTGCAGTCAGGGGAGGCAGGGGAGGCAGAGCCTCACCTGCCATTATTGGAAACTAATAATTATTTTAGTTTAAATATATAATTTATATCCACTGTCCTATGCTTTTAATGTATATTCGGCACGGTTCCCATCAGTTTTGATCATTTCTGAAGTCAAAATCGCCGAAATCCCGTTATTCCTATTCAAAGAGACGAGGTGAGGCAGCGCTCCTGCGTGCCTCACCCCAGACCGCTCCCTCACAGTGTGTGTGTGTGTGTCTGAGTGCACTCAGCTCGTGCAGTTGATATATCACCGTTTGTTTCAAATATCCTGCTTTAAAAACATTTTTTAAACTCCTCTTAGTGTTTAGTAGTGTATTGCACGTATGTGTGTACAATTTATATTTAGTTTAAGTCTTTTGATCGTAGATGAACACACAAGGAAAAAGCTTGGCGTGAGGCAGGCGGTATCTGTGCCTCACCGCTAGGGGTGATAGTGAGCATAAAGTTCATACCAGAGTTGCTAACAAACAATCAGCCCAAAATGCTATTTCTTTTGCTGGAAAATGGATGATTTGAATGAAGATTTTTTTTCTCAATTGGACTTTCAAACAAAGAAAGAATTAATATAGACTGGGAGACCACCACTGGACTTACGAGGTTAGTCCGGCTGCGGGGGAGGAGTTTGTTAATCTGTGTTTTATGTTGAACATTGACAGATACCGGCAAAGTAGTGCTTTTCCGAAAAACACTGATTCAAACACTGCTCAAGAGTTCTGCAACTTGTTTAAATTATTGTTTATGTTCCTCGCGTCTCTCTCTCCTCGCGTCTCCGTCTCTCTCTGCTCCTCGCGTCTCCGTCTCTCTGCTCCTCTCTGTCTCTCTCTGCTCCTCTCTGTCTCTCTCTGCTCCTCGCGTCTCCGTCTCTCTGCTCCTCTCTGTCTCTCTCTGCTCCTCTCTCCTCGCGTCTCTCTCTCCTCGCGTCTCCGTCTCTCTCTGCTCCTCGCGTCTCCGTCTCTCTGCTCCTCTCTGTCTCTCTCTGCTCCTCTCTCCTCGCGTCTCTCTCTCCTCGCGTCTCCGTCTCTCTGCTCCTCTCTGTCTCTCTCTGCTCCTCTCTCCTCGCGTCTCTCTCTCCTCGCGTCTCCGTCTCTCTCTGCTCTCTCGCGTCTCCGTCTCTCTGCTCCTCTCTGTCTCTCTCTGCTCCTCTCTCCTTGCGTCTCTCTCTCCTCGCGTCTCTCGCACCTGCGCTTCTTAAAGATGTTGTTTGATGCGGAGCAGAGTCAGCAGCTAGATTTGTTGTGAGATTATTAAAAGAAGCTGGTTCTCTTATCTTTACAGTATATAAAGTTTGTGGATGTCATTGCATTGGTGATTAAATGCTATTTTATTTGAATAATGATTGTAAATCTGACTTTTAAAGTCAGTGCCTCCCCAATCACAAACCTCACCGCACGTCCCTGGTCTGAATACACCCTCAGTAAGAGCCGTAGTGTCGTGGAGCTGCTACGTTACAACCAAGTCATGCCCAATGCCAAACTGCTATAATGACGACTCACCATTTCTCTCACTTATCGCTCCATCATATACGGACTATTTCAAGAAACTCTCCCCCCACATCAGCAAGAACTCTTCCAACTAATCATTGCAATATCTACAGTTCAACTCTGGAAAACACGTACAAAAATGACAATATCACACACTTTCATTGACAGTAATACAACATACAAACACATTATCACACAACTCAAACGACAACGGAATAATTCACCTCACCTCCCATGGGACGTTTTACACTTCTAAAAATGTAAATAATTATCTGTAAATATTGTTATTATCATTGTTGAAATTATTAATTGTTATTGTATTTAAACTTAAATAAAGACCCTTAAAAAAAATAAGCAAAGGAGGAAAGGGACTCGGCAAAGGCGGCGCCAAGCGTCACCGCAAAGTCCTCCGTGACAACATCCAGGGCATCACTAAGCCCGCTATCCGCCGTCTGGCTCGCCGCGGCGGTGTGAAGCGTATCTCAGGTCTGATCTACGAGGAGACCCGCGGAGTGCTCAAGGTGTTTCTGGAGAACGTGATCCGTGACGCCGTCACCTACACCGAGCACGCAAAGAGGAAGACCGTGACTGCCATGGACGTGGTGTACGCCCTGAAGAGACAGGGCCGCACCCTGTACGGCTTCGGAGGTTAAGCACGAGACTGTAACAAACACCAACGGCTCTTTTAAGAGCCACCCACTCTGACAAAGAGACTTTACTTCTGTTGTGTCCTTACAACATTATCTGTTATCAGAATTTTGTCTGCGTTCCCTACAATGACTTTGAAAATACATATAGTCAGATGCAGCAGAAGGATGAGTCTTCTGCTGCTTAACACCTACATTTCTCCTACGGGGAATCAATCTTTTTTTCCGCAAATACAATGTGTTGAAAATTAGCACCTGTGCTTCAACACTTACAGTGCAATGTTATTACGTCCATATATGTAATGCAGAGCTATGAGCCCCATGTGTTCTTGCAGTTCTCACAGTGCTAGTCTCTAAATCGGTGAACATCCATTTTCTACCCCTTAATCCATTTCTGGGTCACATAGCACCAGCCCCTCACAGATCCCCTACAGGTGCAGAGTCCACAGGAGGACGGCTGCTCTGTCAGTGAGAGCAGAGCCTTGATCTTTCAGCGGGGGCTTTTTGGGCAAAGTGGGGTTAAGTGACAGCAGACATCAGTGGGAGTCGGTGGACTCTCCCCCCACAGCAGCAAGAACTTTTCCAACTAATCATTGCAATATCTACAGTTCAACAAAACACGGACAAAAATGACAATGACACACTTTCATTGATGGTAATACAACATACAAACACATTATCACACAACTCAAACGACAACGGAACAATTCACCTCACCTCCCATGGAACGTTTTACACTTTTAAAAATGTGAATATTGTTATCATCGTTTATTATATTGTTGAAATTATTGTGTTCCCTACAATGTGTTGCACTGTAGGGAAAATCTCAACCAGGGACAGGAGTTGAAAATTAGCATTAGCTATACACTCTGTGTTGCATCAGCTGCATTTTCATAATGTAACTATGTATGACTACATTGTCCCTGTCAAATAAATGAATAAATAAATAAAATAAATTGTTATTGTACCTTAAATAAAGACATTTACTGTTTATTATCCACAGCAAAAGTAAAGACTGCATAGATATGGAGCAAGGCAGGTTTATATGTATGGCACAGGCACAAACTGCCACTCAAAGAACAAAAACTAGACGGGAACCATGAATAATCACAGTACTATAAAATCTCTGTTGTATGCTTGGTGAAAAAGAACAGTTTCTTTTAACAATGTCAGCAGAAAAGCCTTTCTCACATTTTCAGAAAGACTGTTCCAGATTGCAGCTGCTTTAATATGAAATGCTGCCAGTCCCTGCGCTCCTCAGAGTCTGAGTCGGTTTATATGGCACGAAAATGTCTCGGATGTAGTTTTGTGCGAGGCCTTGAAGAGACACAAGCTGAGACCTGAGAACTGGACTAACGTGATCAGACGTCCTGGTTCTCATCAGGACTCGAGCTACAGCGTTTCCCAGAGTTGTTTTTAAAATCTGAAAAAGCTCTGGACAACGCTTGTCGCAGTTGTCTTATTTATAATGAAGGTCTTCAAACATTTCTTTAAGATGACTTCTCCACATGAATAGTTTTTTCACTAGTGCTGTGGATGAAGCTGGACAAGGTCATCAGGAAGTCCAGGACTGTCCTGGGCTGTTCCCTGAGGGTCCTGGACGAACTAACAAAAGGAAAGGCTCCACAGTCTACTGCTATCAGACTGTACAATGAGAACTGTTTTTGTGTTTGTTTGTTGTTGAAAGACTGGTATTGAAGCATTTACAGCTAAGAAACATAGCAGCTACTCACTTATTATGTGTTGTGTGCTCCCTGTGTCTCTTACCACTGTCCTGTATGTGCGCTGCAACATTGACATTTCCCCACTGTGGGATGAATGATCTCGTATCTTTGACAAACACGTGTTGATTAGAACACATTATTAAACATAATCATGAAGAAAACTTCTGTTGTAACAGCTCAGTGTTATTATAATTGCATTAACGTCTCAAAAGAAGATCCATTGAGGTTGTTGTCCAATTGCGTTATGCTCAAACAAGAGGCAAGAGAAAAACCATCTCTAATCTTCTCACAATAGATGATATTGGGTCATTTTCAATGTCACAAACAACACCTCAAGGCACACACAGTTTACAGTAATAGTGCTCCATTTTAGAAGCTTTGTGCTGAAATAGAACGTTCACATCTTCCGTCAGTCAAAACAGAAGTGCTGAGTGTTAACTAACTAATGGACGGGTGAATGTTGATGTTAGAGCAAAGTGTTCATCATTATACAAAATATCTCCTGTTGGAATATTAACTCCTGCACCAGTTAAAAACTAAAATCAGTTTAGTATTGTTTCTGTTGCCAAATTAGCACTTGTTTGTGTAAATCTCAAAGAGCAGTGAGTTCAAGGTTAGTCTGAAATGGGAGGGGGACAAGAGGGAGACAAGTGTTATCAGAGCAGGTGCAAACGTTGGCAGCTGGCCAGAAGGAGTCGTGGAGTCCATACAGTTGTGATGTCATTGACCTTGGATGTAAAGTATAAATGTATGTGCAGGAGTGGTCACGAGAGACTTTTTGCTTTTTCGTCTGACAAGGAGCAGTGAGACGTCCCCGGGGGCCACTCCTTATCTGAACGCGAAGCGAGATCTGTTCGCGGACCGTTATCTTGTAATATTGCTTGCAAAATCTTCAATATAACCTTTTTGAAATCAGGTTTGGTATCTGTCATTTCTATCACTGTTTTAACATTGGTTTTTGTCTCTTGTTGAACTAAAAGGACCTGCAGAACGAAGGGCTGTGTTTGCGGCCTCTCTGCAGCTTCTGGGGCGGGGGAATTCTGACAAATTACTGCAGAACTTGGCGTCGCTCGAACAGGATTTCGACAGGAGACACTAGGACCGGTCAGAGAAAAGATTAATTTGGCGCCAAAGTAAAACGGTAAGATTGTTACCAACTAATTAATCTTTCCTTTCACCTGACCTGAGACCTAAAAATAAAAAATAAAAACAAACAAACACCAAGTAGGGTAAATATTGAAGGATTTGCAAGTATTTTATATTTTATTGGGATAATAGTATTCTAAGTCTAAGTGACGTAAGAAAAGGAGAAAACTGTGTGTTTTATCTCAGTGATTGATAGTTAACCTAAAGGAAAGAAAACTGTGTGTGAGGATCTAAGTGATTTATGAGTTAAGGAGTCAACTGTGTGTTATCTCAGTGATTTAATAGTTGAAGGAGAAAACTGTGTGTTTTAATTAATTGACAATAAGGGAAAGGACAGGGACAGTGTCTAACTTTTCTCACTTTTTAATTTTTCTCTTGGTGTGAATGAGTGATTGATGTTTTCTGTTGAAAGTGACCATTGCACAAACGGTCACAGTGAACGCAGTAACTTGGGTCGCGTAGGACGGGGTCACGATTCGTGCGTACATTTCCCCACCACTTGTGGTTGAACGGGGAGATACCACGATCTGACGCTCTAAGATTACGCACCCAATTGCTGATTTTTTACATTGATATTGATAACACAAGGCTTGTAATCTAGACGGTAGAAAACATGGCATCTGTAACATTAGATGAGTGGATAAAGGGGATTATGATATTCTAATCTCAGGAGTATCTGAAGAGGCATGTACAGAAATCACTATGAAAGTACTTAGAGTAGTGGCAGAAAAGGGATTCAAAATTGATTATGACAAGTGTGCATTTGTAAGACAGAGAGTATCGTTTCTAAAGACTTATCTCACTTCAGAAGGAGTCATGTGTGACCAGTCAAGACTGATCAAACTATCAGAGTTTCCCAAACCAAAAACAGTGAGAGAAATGATGTCCTTCATAAATACGGCAAGCTATATCAGGAAATATATTTTCAACTTCTCCTACATGATGAAGCCCTTGCAGAAAATGTTGATTGATGTAGGCTACACAGATTATGATGGGATCTTGACATGGACTGAGGAGCAAGCACAGGCATTTCAATCAATCAAAGAAAACTATCAATGGTGCAGACTTTACACTGCGTTGATAGGAAATACCCAATTATGATGGAAATCACAATGACTGGAGATTATTATTGTGCAGTGTTGTTTCAGAAAATAGCAGATGCACCCAAAATATTGTACATATTCAGCTCCAATCTCAGAGGATCAGAAGCACACCACTTCTCATGTGCACGTTATGTAATGGCCCTTAACACTAGGAGCGCCCCTAGCGGTCAACTGACCGTCACTCACTTTATTATGCTAATTAGTGTATTCAAAACAAAACGCCAGAAGTTGAAATTTTATGACTTTTACTGGGTACTTGTGGTTTATATTTTGGTGTGTTTTGGTTTTGGAAAAAGTAAAGAAAACAAGATTTACACGCATTTTTAACTTTTCTAAACCACAGCCCTTTCTGCTGCCCCATAGAGATACATGGCGCAGGGGCGACTGTTGTCATAGTAACCTTTCCCGGGGGTTTTTCGCGCCTTATAAAAATGTATCAATATGTTGTCATTAGACTCTAAAGGGACTTTTTTATTATTATTTGGGAGAGAGAGGAGTACAAAATGAATAGAGCTGCAAGTACACGGTATGAAGCCCTGACAGTGCTTCAAAACATTGAATGAGAACAGTCTGACGGAGGTGAGATGTCACATTTTGAGGCAGAAAGTGACAGCGGGGAGAACACCTATAATATTCTAAATCTGAACGTAAACCCATAGTGCATTCACGGCACAGACAGCAGTGTTGTAACAAGTCCAGAAGCAATAACTCACATGACCCTCGTAATGCCAGCCATACGCAGTGTCTGTGTGCGCGCTGTCGCTCCATTCTGCCTTTTCATTCATCATCAATTACATTATTATATTTATACATACAAGAAGGCAATAAAGCAGAATACAATATCGCAATAAAATAGAACAATTAGATGAACTATCAAGGCAGAGTGCAGATCAGAGTGCTCGTCACCCGCGGACACTGCAGGAGGAGAGCGACTGTGGCAGAGGCGGCCCTCATATATCAATAAGGATATAATTCTGATTTCATCCAGATAACACTGTGTGTTATTCTGCACAGCGCGCACTGCAAGGCAATG